TATTTAAAATGTTGAGTGACTAATTCGAATCACTCATAAATATTCTCGGATAAAGTGAAGCGACAACGGATGCTTTCTTCTACACTCATTTTGTATTCTGTGTGGCATCCAGAATCACAGAAAGAAGCCATCTTTTCTTCTTTATTATTTCTTTCAATGGCTTCTTCTTCTTCTGATCCCTTCCTCTTTGCTTCTCTTTCTCTGGTTTGCTTCTTCTTCATCTTCTTTACTGAGAACAAAAACTTGGTTTTTGCAAAAAGAGAAGAAGCCAGCGAGCTTCCTTATCATCGTGTTCCACTCATGTCTCTCTTTCCTTCTTCCTCATGCAGCTCTCCTCTTCAAGGTTCTTAATTCTGTCTTCCATTTCTCTCTGCGTTATCATCATATGAGTTTTAACCTTATATCTTCTATTATTTAAATGCATGTTGTTTGATTTTTATGGCAATAATACTCTGCTTTGGACTTCACTGTTCTCGAGTTAAAATGATTTCTGGTCCATGGTATTAATGGTCTCGAGTCTTCACTTCACGATTTTCCCCCATTCATTTAAAATTTTTAAAATATTCGATCCACGTTATACGTACGTACGTTGTCTATTTTTGTTACTAATTCATGAACTCCACAATAAGCGGATAGAACCACTTGCACAGTTTAAAGTGACACATACGATTAACAGGAGGAATTAGGAATGGATCCATGGAAGTGGTACACAAGCACGGGCCATGTTCAAAGCTGAAGCAACCCTCACCATCATCATCTTCATCTACTTCATTCATTATACCACACAGCGAAATCTTGGAGCAGGACGAAGCCAGAGTACGGGCGATAAACTCCATGCTTTCCAGAACACAACAAAGTCACCAAGAAGCAGAGACTTCAAAGATTCAGGTTCCGGCGAGGTCTGGCATCGCTCTTGGGAGGGCAAACTACTACGTCACGGTGGGGCTAGGAACCCCCAAGAGCGATCTGTCTCTAGAATTTGACACCGGCAGTGACCTAACTTGGACACAGTGTAAGCCCTGTATTGGTTCTTGCTACAGCCAGAAGGATTCCATCTTCGATCCCTCGCAGTCATCTTCCTACTCTAACATCCCCTGCACTTCTTCCCTCTGTTCCCTACTTTCCCCTGCATGTTATTCACCGACGAGATCTTGCTTATACCGTATTCGATACGGTGACGGATCTTTTACCACTGGCTTCTACGCGAAGGAAACACTAACCATACCTCCCAATGACGTCTTTCAAAACTTCCTATTCGGTTGTGGCCAGGACAACCAAGGTATCTTCAGGGGCACCGCCGGACTGCTGGGCCTCGGTCGGGGCGCCGTCTCCATCGTCCAACAAGCCGCCCAGAGTTACGGCAAAATCTTTTCCTACTGCCTCCCCTCCACCCCCAGCACCGTCGGCTACCTTAGCTTCGGGGGGAGTCCTCCTACAGCAACATCAAATACATTCCATACTATTCCATCTCCAGGGCCCCTCCCTCTACGGTGTCCACCTCAACGGAATCACCCTCGGTGGCGTCAATCCACCGATCTCCGCTTCCATGTTTCCCTCCGGCGCTGTCATCGACTCTGGCACAGCCATCACACGGCTCTCTCGGGCGGCGTACGGTCCCCTGAGAGGCGCATTCAGGAGATTCATGTCGGCGAGGTACCCCAAGGGGAAGACGGATGACTTACTGGACACATGCTACGATCTAGGGGGGTTCAACACTGTTTACGTTCCAAAGGTATCATTGACTTTCGGAGGTGGGGTGAACGTCGAATTGGACGTAGCAGGGATTCTGTACATAACGAGCATAAGGCAGGTGTATTTAGGGTTCGCTGCGAACGAAAATGATGACGATGTGGCCATTATCGGAAATACGCAGCAGAAAACACTGGAGGTAGTGTACGACGTTGATGGTGAAAAGATTGGGTTTAGAGCCGGTGGCTGCAACTAATAATTGGTCCACTCAAGCAAAAATATCTTCAACAAATTATTGCTCCCTCCGATCCTATTTATAAATTATTTCTACCAATTTCATCAATACCAATACAATAAAAGTACAAGGAATAAAAGTAAGTAAAATTCTAAAACATGCCCCTATATAACAAATCTAAAAAGTAATGTCCTGTTACTTTTTCTCTCTCATGAAGGTAATTTTGGAAATACCTCTCAAATATTACCTAAAAAGACGTACCGTGACTTATAAATGGGACCAAATACACCTTCTAAAATTAGACTTATAAATGGGACCGGAGGGAGTACATGTTTAGTATTCAAAAAAAAATTTCAAAAAAATTGAAATGTATCTCGGTTCATTAAAAATTTGATAGTCTAGTGCTATCCACATTCTTGCCTTCTCTGTGAGAGATTTGCAGGAGTATTGCAAGGCCTACGTTACGGATAAGCCAATCCATTATTGTTGGACCTACGCTGTCTCGAGAGCAAGATGCCACATTTCTCAAATCTTTCCGTCCAACCAGATATTTGGGATCAGGCTAAGATAATTTCCAAACTGTCATTCTATTAAAAATGCATTTATTATTTAAAATTTGTAAGTTAAAAATTTTAAAATTTAGATTGTTTGAATTTATTATTTAGATTGTTTAACAGTCCACATCTGACTATAGTGATATAATTAACTACCATGATGCAAAGCTAGATGGATATATCTCACGCTTAGCCATCCACCATGAATTGGGTTTGGGATCTCTAATGTGTCATGTTCTAATGTCTTTTGTAATTAATGCCTCAAATTCTTAATTTTATTTTTCTTTTTTTATCATTAGTTTTTATATAAAATAAGAAATATTTTTATATCTTGAAGTTCTAAAATGATAAATTTTTTGTATTTTTTATGTTTTCTAAAGAAAATATAATACATCTTTTTATTTTTGAAAAATTATAAAAAAATCAACATTTTGAAACATCAATATATAAAAATATCTTTTATTTTATACAGAAGTCAATAATTTAAAAAAATAAAATTGAGAAATTGGGCATTAGAAAAATATATACTCCCTCCGTTAAAAAATATAAAGCATTTTTAATTGAATCTTACTCTCTAATAAAGTAATTACCTACTTTCAAACTAATTATTTTTTTTATTTACTCTTATTAAATACCCTATATAAATATAAAGTTATTCATCAATAGAGGCACTTTTAAAAATAAAAAGGCAAAGATTACATTTGAAAGATTAAAAATTACCTTATATTTTTTAATATCTAACTCCTCAAATATGTCTTATATTTTTACAGAGGAAGTATTACATTAGCTGCCCCTAGCCCTAATCAAGATGACGACGACGTGGCTATCATGGGAAATACACGGCAAAAAACAATGGAGGCAGCGTACACCGTTGACGGTCAAAGGATTGGGTTTAGAGCTGGCTTCTGAAACTCTATTGTGAGAGAATCTATTTGAATTTCAAAGCTCTGTATGATAATCAATTATTTTAAAATTAATTTTACCCAACTAAAATCTAAACAAACTGGGTGTCATAGGTTGGGAAATTGGAATTGGGTATCCTTGTGTGATCATGTACGTTAAACAAATGTAAAATCCTTCGATGTTTAAGAGCTTCATAAATAAATTAAAGTGACAAGTTTCAGGTTGTGTTAAGGACTTTGTTTTTACTGTTTCTTTGGGTAGTCTTTTGTCCTATGGGTAATTATTTCTTGATACAACCATTGATTAATTAATGTAAGGTGTATGCATCTGTGTGCATATGTATATATCTGATTTCTTGTAATTGACCTTACAAAAATGGAATAATTGAATCCTTTCACAAGTTTAGAGAGCTTGAACGAATTTGAGAGAATTCAATTTGATACACCCACATTTTCAGGCTAATGTTTATTTTAATTTAAAGGATATTTTTTCCGTCTTAAATTATATATGAAAACGGTATTCATATTACAGAATGAATTTTCAGTGTTTAATACATTCTTCATATCATTTTCAATTCACCATCCTTTAATACTCTATATGACATAAGAAGTATCATCATGAGATTTTGTTAGTTGCATATATGAGCAATTTTCCGGAGAAGCAAACTCATGCGTGACTTAGAAAGCATTATATATATATATATATATATATATCATATGGATAAATGTATATTACCATATAGTCTTGTTGTATTTAAAAAATTAAGAAATATAATCTTGAAGTCATTGATCGCAATTAAGATATCAAAATTCAAAAGCCCTAGGGAGTTTGCAGACCTTAGGCTGTGACGTTTGACAAATTGCAGTTGGCCCCTCTTGTTGGCATATGTATTGTTTTCTATTGGAAGCAGACATAATAATATTTTTATACTCCCTCCATATAAGATATTTTAAAAAAAAATTAAATGTTAAAAAATATAAGATACTTTAAGTTTTTTAATATATAATCATTATTTTTTTTAAAAGTATTCTTAATAAATCACTTTATATTTATTTTAGGGTGAAATACCATATTAAATAAGATAAATATGAAAAGATAGGATTAACTTAAAAATAAGTAATTATTTTATTACAGGTAAGATTTATTTAAAAATACCTTATATTTTAAAAAAAAAATATGTACATACGTGCATACATATGAACAGAAAATTGTATACAGAGAGAAGCCTGGCTAGTACAATTGTACCTAGGCCAGCCAACTAAGTGAAATGAATAAGTTTATCTCACTTATAGGGATAAATATAATGGGTTTTTAATAATTTTATAATCAGAAGATAATTTATATCTTACATGCTAATTCATCAATATATTTTATACATTAGATTAATTTAAGAGTTAATTTGTGTTTTAAAACTCAAAAGACTAACATGATAATTTAATAAAAATGTAAGGAATCAAATAGAAAACACAAATGAAATTGAGGGACTGTAGGTTTTATCATCTCATGACACTATTGCTATTATATAAATTATATTCAGCCTATAAAGGTCAGCCATCCGGATTGAGTTTATGCTATGTGGCCTCTTGAAGCACAGAAAGGAACAATCTTTTCTTCTTTCAATGGCTTCTCCTTCTTCCAATCCCTTCCTCCTTGCTTTTATTTGTCTGGCTTGCTTCTTATTATTCTTCATTGAGAGCAAACCCTTTGTTTCTGCTATAAGGAAAGAAGCCAATGAGCTTCAACATGCTCATCATCATCGTGTTCTTCTCACCTCTTTCTTCCCTTCTTCCTCTTGCAGCTCTCAAGGTTCTTTAATTCTCTTCCATGTGCATCTCTCTGTCTCTCTCTTTCTATAATAAATATAAATCAATTGATAAAATTCTGGTCTCATCTATCTATGTACATACAATGACTGGATCGAAGAATCATTGCTCATATTGAATTTATTTGATGCAATGAATAGGTGCATGCAGCAAGGGATCGTTACAAGTGGTGCACAAGCACGGGCCATGTTCAAAACCGAAGCAACACCCATCGTCGTCGTCGTCATCTTCGTTCACTATGCCGCACTGTGAAATCCTTAAGCAAGACGTAGAGAGGGAACTACTTCGTCACAGTGGCGCTGGGAATCCCCAAGAGAGATCTGTCCCTCCAATTTGACATAGGCGGTTAACTCACTTGGACTCAATGTGAGCCCTGTGCTGGTTCTTGCTATCAACTGGACCAACCCATCTTCGACCCTTCTCGCTCTTCTTCTTACTCCAACATCTCTTGCTCTTCTTCACAGTGTTCCCAGCTTTCCTCTTCTACAGGTATATACTTATATGTATACTAGCTTTCAAGCTCATGATTCATTTAGTACGTTCTCTTATACATATCTGCGCATCTTTCTCCATGTAATAATGCATCAACGAGAGCTTGCATATACACTCTGATATATGGCAGCGAATCTTTCCCTACGGGCTTCTTAGCAAGGAAAAGACTGACCATATCTCCCGACGACATCATCGACGACTTCCTCTTGGGCTGCTGCCAGAACAACCAAGGTCACTTCAGAGGCACCGCCGGCAACAAACCTCCCAAAAATACCGGAGAATCTTTTCATACTGGCTCCCCTCCATCGCCATTTACGCCTGCTACCTTGAGTTCGGCCCCGGATACTCCCACCCCGACGTCAAATACACTCTATTCTCGTCCATCTTCAAGAACTCCACTTAGCTCTCTCTTTCCTTCTTCCGCATGCAGCTCTCCTCCGCAAGGTTATTTCTGTCTTCCATTTCTCTCTGTGATATATCTTTTTCATTTAAATGCATGGTGTTTGATTTTAATAACAGTAATACTCAGCACGTGCCTTCACTGCTTGTCTGCGTCTCAAGTTAAAATGATGCTACTTCAGTTCCAATTTATAAAAAAACTTTTAGATAAAATCACATGTATCAATGCAAGTTAGTAAATACAATTTATAACATTATTTTTTTAAAATAAAAATATAAACTTTCAAAAAAGTTCTTCAATTAATTATTTATTTGTAAAAGAATATAAAAGAAAGAGAATATATGCAAATGTTTATGTTGCAAAAGTATATATTTTTGGGTCTAAAGTTAAAATGACAAGCCAATGAGGAGAATTGAGGTTAAAAACATGACTAGTCCAAGAAGCATAACTTGATCCATTGCCAAAAAAGAAGAGTACACAGCGCAAGCCTAACGTAGTCTTTAAGACTCGAGACGATTAAATGTATGAGATCATTGAAAGGATATAGTGTATCATGCCATGAATCTCGCGGGCCATGCTAGTGATATTTCATGAATGGGCTCTAGATTCTGTAGGTGTACGATCTCAACTAAATAATTATAAAAGCAGCAGAAGTTTGCAGAAAATAGGACATAAACAATCAATCATCAACATCCATTAATACTTGCATTTGTATTCTATATTTTCAAATAGTTTCTAAAATCATTTTTAGTTTTGCAATCTTTACAATTCTATACTTTGAACATTTATCAATCAAATACTCATTTATTTAAGTCTCTTTGCATCTTCACATCTAAGTAAAGTATGGTAAGAGAACTCAAAAATCCTTATTATCTTTTGAAACTCAGCATCTCTGACATTCTTGGTATTTTTTGTTGTTTGTAGAGAACAATATCATTAATAAAAGTTGATTTTTATCAAAATATCCTATATTTTATGACGTTGAATTTTTTAAAAAATATTTCATATGGGACGGAACGGGAGTATATGGTAGTATGTAGTATTTTTTGTCTCAACTCTCAATGTAACATCCTAATATAAATTTTAATAGTTAATTTGGGTTAATAGAAAATTTTAAAAAAATAATTTTAAAAAAATAAAAAAAATAATAATAAAATAATATTATTAAATTATTATTATAATAATAAAAAAAGGTGTAAAAACAAGAAAGGAAGGAAGAAGAAGAAGAAAACGAATTTGCTTCGTCCGCCGCCTCAACAGTAACAATAATAAAATAATAATAAAAAAAAGAAGAAGAAGAAGAGAGAGAAAATAATTAAAAAAATGTGGGACCCACTGAATTTTTATAAAAACTCACCTTCCTTCATTTCCTCATTCATTCCTGCACGCGAGCTGAGGCGGAGAGAACGCGAGTCACCGGTGCGAAATATCTAAATTTTTAAGGTAAGAGTTTTTAATAGGATATTTAGGGTGTGATTTTAAGCTTTTTAAGACTAAGTAAGTGTTCTAAAAATTTTTCTTAGTCATCCTTCTTCTTTAGTTTCTGAGTTTGTAGTGGTAGAAAATTTAAGATCTGGAAGAGGGATGAATTTATGTTGAATAAATATGATTTTTGAGGTTGTCAGTAGTATAATAAATGTTATAGAGTATAAATTTGTTAATGATCTTTGAATTTATGGCTTATGGATTAAATTCTAGACTAGATCTGAAAATATATGTTGATTTATTGAGGTTTAGATGATTATTTAGGATGAGAAATGAATTATTATGGCTATAGGATTATGATTCTAAGCTAGAGATTTAATTTTTAATTTTTTAGGTATTTTAGGTACGAATTTATGAAATAAAAAGAAAAATTTTGATAATAAAAATTAGTTTAGAAGTTGATTTTTAGATTATTAATGTTTATTGATAATTAAAAGAGGAGTTAAAAATTATACTTAATAGTATTAACTATAGATTTGTATTAAGATTGAGATTAGGAATTATGTTATATTTTTAATTCTATTATTAGAATTATTTTATTAGTTTCAAAAATTGAAACTAATATTTATAAATAATATGTTATTTGTAGATTGTATTACTGGTGAAGATTGTGGTGAGAGAGAAATTTTAAGGAATAATTTATTGAAAAAGCCACAAGGTAACCATGCTTTTAATTTGTGATTAGTGTTACTTCATGTTAATTGGGTGATTATTGAGAAAATTATGAATTTTGTAATATTGTATAATTGTGCAATATTATTATGAATTTGTTTATTTATTGTGGGAGGTGTTGGGAGACTTGCTATTATTGTTGTATTTATGTGCCACGTGGTACGCCCCTATTGGAGCTCAATAAGTGGTTTGTAAGGGCTCGGGCTAATCTACCTTTGGCCGGGTAATTTAGCACCGAGTGAGGGCTACGGCTCGAGGTTAATGGAGGGATATAAGGATGGTTGTTTGTGTTTATTGTAATATTTCTTATATTTGTTGGAATTATATTATTTTTAATTCTCACTTAGTAAGTACACACTTAACTGTTTGTATACACTATCATAAATTGGCTTTGGTTACTGGGACTTTTGAGTCTCATTATGTGGTTAACAATTTTCAGGAGAAGAGCCACGAGTGACACGTGGAGGAGTCCCAGAGGCTTAGTGGTATAGATCCACTGTCTCTTTTGGGTATTTAATTTATGATTTATAATGTATTATATTGCCAATATTAGGGCTTTTTGTTTATTGTCAATTATATGAATATATAAATGTAATCATGCCTTTCAAACTATTTCTATTTTTAGTACAATTTGGATGACTGTAATTTTAATATTTGGTTTACTTTGGATTGGTTAAAATGGCATGATTATAAGGCCAAATAACTGGCTTGTGTTGAAAATTTATTAAATTGCTTATTTTACTTGTTGGGAGTATAAGGATGGACAAATGTGATTTAGTTTACTTGTTGGGAGTATAAGGATGAACAAATGTGATTTAGCCTAATGGCATGTGGGAGGTAAAAATTTATCTGAAATGTTAATTATAAAATATTTTATATTGAAATTATTGATATAAAAATGAGTTGGGTGGCTATAACCCAACTATGATTGAGTTAAATTATTTAAAAAAAAATTTTGGTGTGTTACACTCAAGTCTTGATTAGCCAAAGGTTAAGTTAAAATATCGATATATAATAATAATAAAGTCCGTTCAACCAGATATTTGGGATCAAGCTAAGATAATTTCTTAACTGTCATTTTATTAAAGATGAATTTATTATTTAAAATTTGTAAGTTAAAAATTTTATATTTAGATTGTCCAAATTGAATTTAAACAGTCCAGATTTCATCACAGTGATAGGTATCATGGTCCAAAGCTGGACTGATGTCTCACTGTTAGTCACCCACCAAGGATTTCTAATAACGTCTGTTACAACGTTTGGTGTATTTTTTTTCCCCAACATCCTCTCATAATTAAGTCAAAATCACTGGATCGCTCATTATTTTTTTTTTAACTATTCTAAATCCATCCATCAAAGTTTTACAGCAAGTTTTTTGTCTTTTTCCATTTTTTAGATGCATACACCAGATTTACATCGATTAATTACACACACACACTCTTCTTGAGAAAAACCGAAAAGTCCATAGCTTTCCAAGCCTTTTAAATTTTTTAAACTGCAATTAAGTTGAGTTGCGTTTTAATGTCAAAATTCTGGAGGTTCTTCAGGGTGATGCAGGAGGTGATGAATTTTTCATCCATTTGAATATTCCATATACGTTCAAGACTGAAATCGAACGAACGATTTCATATCTAACTCTAAAATTACAAATAACTTTAACGCTAAATTGATTTTTACATTTTTATTTCTAATTCTAATAATTGCAAAAATATAATCAATATCGAAACATATATTTCTTTCATTATACTTGACTCTTCTCATCCTTATCAAGTTATATATTTTCTAAATTTTTCATGGCTTCGTCATTAGATTTAACATGTTCACACATGTACTTCAATGTTTTTGGGTAAAATGAAGTGACAAATAAATTTAATCTAATCCCAAACCAAGGAAAGACCTGCAGGCGATCAACAATAATCTTGAAGTTCTTTTTTTTTCCACAAAAAAAAAAAAAAAGAAAAAGAAACTTGAAGGCCGTTGATCGCAAATAAGACATATATATCAAATGCATCAGATAGAAGAAATCATAGGGGAGTTCGCAGATCTTAGATTGTAACGTTTCAGAAAAGGATTGTTTCATTTGACCTTTTGCTGGCCTGTTTGGCTGTTTTCTATTGGAAGACTTGGTAATATAGCACCAAAACTGTGTAATTAGTGAAGCCAAGTACAACGTAACCAACAGGCCAGCTAAATGGAGTGAATTAGTTTGTCTGTTATATATAAATAATGGGTGTTAATAGTTGTTTTAATTAGAATATCCTGTTAATATCATGACCAGTCATGAAATTTAGCCTATAAAGGCCAACGATATCCCTTTCTCAGCTTGAAGCATACAGAAAGAGAAACTATCCTTCTTGTTTCTATGGCTTCTTCTTCTTCTAATCCCTTCCTGTTTGCTTTTGTTTCTGTTGTTTGCTTCTTCTTCTTCTTGATAGAGAACAAACCCTTTGTTTCTGCAATAACGAGGAAAGAAGCCAGTGAGCTTCTTCAACAAACTCAACATCATGTTCATCTCACCTCTTTCTTCCCTTCTTCATCTTGCACCTCTCCTCCTAAAGGTTCTTTCTCTTTCATCTCTCACTCTCTGTTATTAAAAAAATTGTTCTACAGCATTGTGACGCTCAGCACCAACTCTCTTTGAACCATAAATAACATTACTTTTTGTTCAATTAAGATAGTTAATATTTAATCAAATGATTATAACAAAGTAGAATGACAATGCATGGTTAGAGTTCTAATTAACTAGATTTACAGTTAGATTCCAAAAACTAATTAGATCGATCCAAATACAACTTCTATATATGCTAGCACAGAAAATGTCATTTACATATCGTAACTCTCACGTCGGTGCTGTCCAAAGCCAACTAATGAAGGAGTAGTCTCAAATTTGTTTTCCTTGTATAGAATCTCTTCTTTGTAGCGTATTTTTTTCCTACTATTTGAACTGGACTGACATTGAGCTGATAGAATAATCCACGTGACTACTACATGAGTACATTCAAGTGATATATGTATGTGTATAACACGATGAACAGGTGCAAGCAGGAAGGGATATTTGGAAGTAGTACACAAGCACGGCCCATGTTCAGAACCGAAGCAACAAACATCATCATCTTCATTTATTATACCGCACAGAGAAATCCTGATGCGAGACCAAGCGAGGGCTAGGTCAATCCACTCTAAGCTTTACAAGAGACACAACTATAATGAAGTAGCAAAAGTAGATATTAGTTCAAATCGCAGGTTGGACCGGGTTCAGCTTCCGGCCAGTCCGGCGTCCTTCTCGGGACCGGGAACTACTTTGTCACGGTGGGGCTGGGAAGCCCCAAGAGAGATCTGTCTCTGGACTTCGACACAGGCAGTGACCTAACTTGGACTCAGTGTGAGCCCTGTCTTGGTTCTTGCTATTCCCAGAAACAACCAGTCTTTGACCCTTCTCACTCTTCTTCTTACTCCGATGTCTCTTGCTCATCTTCTCAGTGCTCCCACCTTCTCTCTGCCACAGGTACACACACACACTCTCACATTATCTTTCAAGCTAAGTTTATGAACATAGCTTCCTTCTCTTTTATTCATTGAATACATTCTCTTATATATGCATATGATCTCCAGGATTTTTTCCATTATGCAATACAACAACAAGGGCTTGCATGTACGGTCTTATCTATGCTGACGAATCCACCTCCATTGGCTTCTTCGCTAAGGAAAAACTAACCATATCTCCGACCGATGTCTTCGACGACTTCCTTTTTGGCTGCGGCCAGAACAACACAGGTCTCTTCGGCGGCACCGCTGGGTTGCTCGGTCTCGGTCGCGATCCGCTCTCCTTCGTCCAACAAACCGCGCATAAGTACCACAGAATCTTTTCCTATTGTCTTCCGTCGACTCCAAGTGCCATCGGCTACCTCAACTTTGGCCCCAGTCATAGGTACTCCTACGGCGACGTCAAATACACTCCGTTCTCCTCCATCTTCAAGAACTCCTCCTTCTACGGCCTTGACTTCGTCGGAATATCTCTCGGTGGCGTCAATATCCCGATCTCTGCCTCCTCCGGCACGGTTATTGACTCTGGTAGTGAAGTCACCTGGCTCCCTCCGGCGGCGTACAGTTCCCTGAGAGACGAGTTTCAGAGACAGATGTGGAGGTACCCGAAGGCGGATCCGGTTGAAGTACTGGACACGTGCTACAATCTGCGTGGGTACGAAGTTGTTCACTTGCCGAAGGTTTCATTGACGTTTGGAGGTGGGGTGAACGTGACGTTGGACGCATCGGGGATTCTGTATGTTGTGAGCAAAGAACAGGCGTGTTTAGGGTTTGCTGCGAATAAAGTTGATGGCGATGAAGGTGATGATGTGGTTATTATTGGCAATACACAGCAGAAAACACTGGAGGTAGTGTACGATGTTGATGGTGAAAGGATTGGGTTTAGATCTCACGGCTGCAAATGATAGATTCTTAAATTTATTAGTGTTATTAGGATGTCAACAAAAATCAATAAATCCAAGTAGCTTATAAGTTGATATATTATAAGCATGAGTAAGGTAAGGATATGCTTATATCTGTCTACTTATATATTTAAAGTGATCTAATTCATGAGTTTGCCAGGTAAAGCAAGAGACTTTTAGACGTTGGTTGTTAGGGCTTATATTGTCTTCCCCAGTTACAAGGCTATGGACTCTGTTGTTTTTACTATTGCTATACATTTGTTCGTCATGTTTCGCTATTTGGTATTACCATTTCCTCGTCATTCAGGGGGAGAAAGTTTTATTATAGTCACTTTTCTCATATTTAAGGCGTATTAAAATATTGTAAATAATTTTCAAAGAAATAAAAATAATTGCAATAGCCTAATAATGCATTTGGAGAAAGATTTTCTTTTTTCTTTTTTTTCTTTTTGGGGGGCGGGGGGGGGAATGAGAGCCAGCGGCCCCTGTGCCGCAATGGGATGTATGTTCGAACCCAGAATGGGCTTTCAAGTTTGGACCTTCATTTATATTCTCCTCAGTAAAATTTCGACAGCCAATCGGGAATCAGGAGTTATTTACATCAACTGATAAGAGTACAGCAAAGGACAAATAAAAAAAAAAAAAAAACCTATATCATTCATGAATTCTCTCTCATATTACATCACCTTCAACAGGCTTCAAATGATGGCGAAACTACCCCATCAGAAAAATCAAAAGCTTAAAGAGAAACTTCAATTTGATGTTTTATTAATTGTAATTGTTTCTTTCACGGAGGTCATTCTCTGTCCCAGGAAAGTGTCCAGTCCAACACAGACTTTTTCCCTGTATTTATCAATATGCTTGTGAGAAATCTACCTGTTTCTCCGATAAAAATGAGAGTCAAACATGCTTCTCTTGTGATTTGAATCATAGATGTTCTGAGGTTCAAATTAATTTCAGATCAGCCACCAAGCAAGAGAACCGAAGACAAAATTCACCTATGTGCGCTCTTGCTGGAGCTTACCAACAAGACAGTTTTCCATTGCTTCATCACAAAGCTCAAGGGTAATTTCTAAATTCCCTTCTTCATAATTTACATCAACAAATATATCATATATCTCTTTCTCTGCTACCAATCCTTTTGCTCTCATCTCATCAAAAAATTGCCTCGCCTCCACAAATTTCTTCCTCTTGAAGAACCCTTTTATAATGGCATTATAGGAAGAGGCTGTGAGATCAAATCCCTTTTCAATCATTCCTCTATGCAAAAACCATGCCTCTTTCATATTCCTAGCTTTACAATGCCCTCTTACCAAGATATTATATGTGTTACCATCGGCTGCCACTCCCTCGGCATGCATACTCCTGAAAACATTCGTGGCAGCGCGCATGTCATTTCTAATGCAGTACTGCTTCATAAGAGAATTGAATGTGGTAGCATTTGGTGTTATACCCTTATCTAACATCCATTGAATTAGTCTTTCACCATCTTCCAGCATTCCTGACAGGCAAAACCCATTCATTAGCACATTGAATGTAACAACTGTAGGCTGAAGTCCTTTATCGAGCATCTTGCGAAGCAGCTTGTGAGCCTTGGCCATTTCCCCAATCTTACAGTAAGCATCCATAAGAGTCGTGTATGTAACAGTATCGGGATAAATTTCAGCAAGTTCCATTTCTTCCATCAATTTTAACGCTTGTTCTATATTTCCTATCTTACAAAGGCCATTGATGAAAGCATTGTAAGTGCAAACATTTGGTTGTAGGCCCTTTGCAGATATCTCATGAAGAAGTTCATTTGCTACATCTACCTCTCCACGTTTACAAAGTCCATCAACCAGTGCAGTATAAGTGAAAATATTTGGAGTCAACCCTTTCTGAACCATCTGGTTGTGTAAAGAAAAGGCTTCTTTTATTTCCCCTGCCTTGCAATATCCATCAATGAGTTCTGTATAAGTAACCTCATCTACTTCCAACCCTTTACTAAGCATTTGACTGAAAAAATCTTGAGCTTCCGCCATTTTCCCATTTTGACAAAATCCATGAATCATAGCAGTATATGTCACAAAATCAGGTATTATTTTCTTACCTTGCATTTCATTAAAGAACTTGTATGCAGCTGAAATATTCCCAGACTTGCAGAAACCACTTATGATGGTTGTGTAGATCACATGATCAGGATATATCCCCTGGTTTCTCATTTCCCACAAGATTTTATCAGGTTCAACTACTTTACCAGTCTTACGAAGAAGAAGAATTACATCATTGTAAGTGTATTCATTTGGTTTGATTCCCTTTCTCTGCAACTCTTCTACAAGCTTTACAACCTTCTCTAGCTGTCCAATTTGACAATATCCACTAATTATAGTGCTATAACTTACAATATCAGGCATATGGCCCTTAAATTCCATTTGTATGAGTAAAAGGTGCGCTTCTTTGATCATACCCAACTGACACAGACAATGAAGAATGACATTATATGATGTGGTGTTCCAAGGAACACCTACTCCTGGATAGTCGTTAAATACCTTTAATGCCATCCTTATTCCATCAAAATTGTTTGACAGCCTAGCTAGAAACAAATTACAAGAATCTACAGAGACCAGAAGACCATAATTTAACAATTTATCAAAAAGTTGTCTGGCTTCTAAAAGCATCCCACCTTCAACTAAGACTTGGAAAAATATATCAAATACATGAGGGTCAGAACCCCAGTCCTTGTATGTATATATTAACCGCTCAGTAAAATTTGCAAAAGAATGGTCAACATCCAGATTGGGCTTTGCCCAGAAATCATGAACCAGGCTGTGTGCCATTTTTAAGTCCTTTGATGCCACAGCAATATGAACTACTATACAAAGGGCCTCCAGTGTTGGGTCTCTGCGCAGACGTGCCCAGTTAAAGAAATCTAAAACCAGTTCATAGTCATTCTTTATGTCCATAAGAACCCAAATTAGATGATCAGGCCTGAATTTGGATTCATAAGGTTTCAGAATGTGGCGAAGAGGCTCAGAACGGCGAAGCTTTATCGTTTTGGAGATTTGACGCACAAATTCAGAATCTTTAATAGCAGACTTCTTTGGGGAATAATCAGGAAAAGGTCTGGTATTGGTTGAACCTACAAGAGAGGCTCTCCCACTCAGATATCTTCGACATCCAGAATATGTTGGATCAAAACCCAAAAGCAGACGACAGTCACTAATTTTTAGATAATGGAGTGAAGAGGAGATTGTTGGTCTCTTCATGTGCAAGAGGAGCACCCATTTGAAAAATTGAGACTTTCTATACAACAGTTTGGCACCTCTCTCCCATGTACACAAGAATCACAACAAAGAGGCTCTTTCATGACAAATCACCTACAAGTAACAACTTTTCTTAGGCGGGTGGGAAGAGGTAGTATGGCCGTGTGGCACATATGTACAATCAGAAAGGCTTATTTCAGCTCCAAGGCATAGACATCACACGCAACCCAGCTATAATTAGATTGCAAAATGTTTTTAATTCTTGACAGTTGTATCGGGTAATGTCAAAACACTTGCCTATTGAGCATCTTACCATATCAAAATGACAAATACTTGCTTCATTTTAACCTAGAAGGAAAGAAGAGGAAAAGAAAATGTATCAGGCATTCTATCAAACACCTTCTAAACATTCCCAAATAACCAGTTAAACCTCCAAAAGATATTCCAGGAGAGAAAGAATTTACGCTCAAATCAAACTCAAACTGGCCCAGATGTTTACATTCACGAACAGTTCTAACACTCGGGTATTCCAAGAAAATAAAGCCATATATTGCAGCAAGCAATGACTATGTCTAAAGCAGAAAAATAAGGTTCCTTATTCCCAACGAACAACAATCAAACGAATATCAAAGAATGAAGGCAATGAGATATTCATGAAGAGAAAGAAGACAATTACGTTTCCTAGAATTGCCAAGCGAAAAGGAGATGAAATATCCAGCACTAACAAGCAATAATAGAAAGTCAAAGTGCAGATTTTCCGTCAGATAAGGGAGACGCTACGTTAATGGAGATATTTCCTTTCTAATCAATATCTTACATTTTTCTACATGGTTTGAGAAAGAGATGTGGGTGGGTGGGTGGGTGTGGGTAAGCGCTAAAGCAAAGAACTTGTTGCAGATGCTCCTCTGTTTTTATATCCCCGAACCAAAAATTAGAAGAAAATCAGAGACTTTGCAAAGATGGAGAAAGATGAGAAATAGGAAGAAAACGGAGAAACTTGACTATTTTGAACAGGGAAAAATCAGAGATCAACGGAAAGATAGGGAACAGAGAAACTTGAAGGACCAACCTATAAGATTGAGAAACCAACCCAGTATAACTTTGTCTTCAAGCCCCAGAATCTGTGACTCACAAATTGAAGGAAGACAGAACTGGTGAAGCTTTGAACAAGTGCCGGCGAGGTAGAGGTCGGTATAATCGACTTCGACTTCGAGTTCAGGCCACCTGAAATTGGGATTTTGGAGTGCGGAAGTCTGTGGGTAGATGGCTGGACGGGCATGGACGTCGGAGGCCGACGGTTAGGCGAGCGGCGGGCGAACTCGTGTCGTGAGGGGTGAAGCGCTGTGACGTTTAGGGATTGCGAGTGCGAGGTAGTCGCCATCCTAATTATCAAACACATTTTGTAACACTCTAATCTAATCTAATCTAATCTAATCGGAGGAGCTCTCGAAAAGTTTAAATTTTTTTTGGATTAACGAGCATTTTACACCTTTCAATGCTACACGAAAAGTATCATAAATCTTAAAATTTTAGAATATATAAAGCAAATTTTAATTTTTTAAATTCACTGTAAATTACTCTCCATTATTATCTTTTTATTAATAATATTACTGTTCACCATACTATTCATCATGAGGTCAAGTGTTGACATGACAATCTTCTATTGATATATCATTTATTAATTAATATCACTGTAAATTATTAAGTGAGTAGCGTCTTAAATCTTAAACTTAAAAATTTTAAACAAATTATTCTCACTGT